ACACACCTCAGCTTTAATTACTGCCCAGTACACCTGTAAGTATTTGAACATTGGATGTTCTGTACACTTAATGGAGCACATTTACATCATCGAGTCTACACTATCGAAATCTACAATATTGAAACAATTTTAAAGGCTCAAAATCCCCCGCTCTAGCACATTTTCTCATGATGTTGCTGTAGTTGACATTTTCAGCGGGTGTTTTCCAATGTGTCACTTGAAGCCTGCAATGTAAATCCGGCCCAGGTTCAAACGGTAAAACGGCGCACTTACATCGTCATAATGGAAGTTGGCGGTGCCATTTCGAGATGTGTCACGGCGTTGGAAATGATCTGGAAAATACACACACAAATATTAAGGCCAGTTTTGTATCCAAAGAATTCAAATCCGAACCAGATTTTTTTTTTTTGCGTTCTCACCAGTCAACCCGCGGAGTCGAACGCAACAGCTCACAAAATCATCAAAGGGGATTCTTCCGTTGACACTGTAGCGCTTCATTATCATGTTCAGAGCGTTGGGGCTCAGATTGTAACCTACACACACAGTAAATATTAACAAGGGACAGAAAAAATGATATATACAACTAAACCCAACATAACGAGTATTTTTCCTTCTCTGTACTTTGGCGGTGAACAAATTTAGGCTTTGCAAAAGCGTAGCATCTGCTTGGTAAAATTAATTTGTTTACGCAGGTATTGATAGAGAACCGCATTGCAGCTTGGACAATGACTTTTTGGCCATATTTTTGGTGCTGGCAGAATTACAGAATTTGAAGGTTCCACTGTTTAAACAAAATACATCGGAATAAAAAAAAAAAGAGATATAAAAAGGCATCCCCTCCGTGAGTCCTTCCTCACATGCTCATGGTCACCTGGATAAACTGGACAGAGACAAAGGTTGCAGTCATTCTTTGTGCGGAGGGGGCGGACATCTGAATGGCTGGATTTGCACCGCGGGTTCAAGAGCCCCATTACAATCAGATTCGTTGACACTGTATACTGTATCATATTTACACTATATTCCATGTTGTATACCCATTTAATGGAGCATATTTACACATTTCATGTTCAATACCCTCAATGTATCATATTTACATTGTATTTATTCTCACATTCTATATGATGGTAGTGTAACATATTAACATCATATTTATTGTTCTATCACTACTGATGTACCATACTTAAAACCACTTTTTTTTTTTTTTTTTTTTTACACACCTCAGCTTTAATTACTACCCAGTACACCTTTAAGTATTTGAACATTGGATGTTCTGTAATTACTACACAGTACACCTAAAGTATTTGAACATTGGATGTTCTGCACACTTAATGGAGCACATTTACATCATCGAGTCTACACTATCGAAATCTACAATATTGAAACAAATTTAAAGGCTCAAAATCCCCCGCTCTAGCACATTTTCTCATGATGTTGTTGTAGTTGACATTTTCAGCGGGTGTTTTCCAATGTGTCACTTGAAGCCTGCAATGTAAATCCAGCCCAGGTTCAAATGGTAAAACGAACGGCGCACTTACATCGTCATAATGGAAGTTGGCGGTGCCATTTCGAGATGTGTCACGGCGTTGGAAATGATCTGGAAAATACACACACAAATATTAAGGCCAGTTTTGTATCCAAAGAATTCAAATCCGAACCAGATTTTTTTTTTTTGCGTTCTCACCAGTCAACCCGCGGAGTCGAACGCAACAGCTCACAAAATCATCAAAGGGGATTCTTCCGTTGACACTGTAGCGCTTCATTATCATGTTCAGAGCGTTGGGGCTCAGATTGTAACCTACACACACAGTAAATATTAACAAGGGACAGAAAAAATGATATTATATACAACTAAACCCAACATAACAAGTATTTTTCCTCTGTATTTATTTCATTTTATTACATTAGTTACATATTTTGGCATACCAGTATTGGGGCAGAAAAGCTTCTAACATTTTTGTAAGTCTAGCGTTGATCTCATTTATTCGCAATCCCCTGCTGGCCACAAAAAAACAAAAACAAAACACAGCTGCTTTCATTGTTATCAATGTGTCACATACCCAGAGATTTAATGGCCTGTTGCATCTCCTGAGCCTCCACCGTACCACTGCGGTCGCGATCAAAGGACATGAAAATGTTCTTCCAGGCATTGAGCGCCTGCCACAGGTCTTTGAACTCAGTGAAGCCCATGGTGCCTGACATGTCTCGCTGACACACGCCTGTCAAGGATCCCTCCCGCAGTTCCTTTTAGCTCAGGGGGAAAAAGTGTTTAACTTCAGTAAGGATACGTCCAGCATGTTGATCATCAGTCTGCAGGTGTCTATGTTGAAGGCTGGGTTAAACAAAAAAATAAAATAAAATAAGAAAGACAAAGAATTCATCCATTCGTTTTCGAGAGGGCTTATCATTCATTAGGATTGCATGGAGTTAACTTGGAGTGATAGACAAACAATGGAGTGGTTGCCAGTCAATGTCAGGGCACATGTAGACAAACAAGCCTTCACACTAATAAATAGACATAAGTGAATCTAACATGATTTTGGGGGGGAATGTGCATGAGCGTGCAAACTCCGCACAGGATGGCCGGAGCGAAGATTAGAACGCGGAACCTAAGATCTGTAATGCAAACATGCTAACCTCATGTCTATGATACAAACATTGGATGTTCTGCACACTTAATGGAGCACATTTACATCATCGAGTCTACACTATCGAAATCTACAATATTGAAACAATTTTAAAGGCTCAAAATCCCCCGCTCTAGCACATTTTCTCATGATGTTGCTGTAGTTGACATTTTCAGCGGGTGTTTTCCAATGTGTCACTTGAAGCCTGCAATGTAAATCCGGCCCAGGTTCAAACGGTAAAACGGCGCACTTACATCGTCATAATGGAAGTTGGCGGTGCCATTTCGAGATGTGTCACGGCGTTGGAAATGATCTGGAAAATACACACACAAATATTAAGGCCAGTTTTGTATCCAAAGAATTCAAATCCGAACCAGATTTTTTTTTTTTGCGTTCTCACCAGTCAACCCGCGGAGTCGAACGCAACAGCTCACAAAATCATCAAAGGGGATTCTTCCGTTGACACTGTAGCGCTTCATTATCATGTTCAGAGCGTTGGGGCTCAGATTGTAACCTACACACACAGTAAATATTAACAAGGGACAGAAAAAATGATATTATATACAACTAAACCCAACATAACAAGTATTTTTCCTCTGTATTTATTTCATTTTATTACATTAGTTACATATTTTGGCATACCAGTATTGGGGCAGAAAAGCTTCTAACATTTTTGTAAGTCTAGCGTTGATCTCATTTATTCGCAATCCCCTGCTGGCCACAAAAAAACAAAAACAAAACACAGCTGCTTTCATTGTTATCAATGTGTCACATACCCAGAGATTTAATGGCCTGTTGCATCTCCTGAGCCTCCACCGTACCACTGCGGTCGCGATCAAAGGACATGAAAATGTTCTTCCAGGCATTGAGCGCCTGCCACAGGTCTTTGAACTCAGTGAAGCCCATGGTGCCTGACATGTCTCGCTGACACACGCCTGTCAAGGATCCCTCCCGCAGTTCCTTTTAGCTCAGGGGGAAAAAGTGTTTAACTTCAGTAAGGATACGTCCAGCATGTTGATCATCAGTCTGCAGGTGTCTATGTTGAAGGCTGGGTTAAACAAAAAAAAATAAATAAGAAAGACCAAGAATTCATCCATTCGTTTTCGAGAGGGCTTATCATTCATTAGGATTGCATGGAGTTAACTTGGAGTGATAGACAAACAATGGAGTGGTTGCCAGTCAATGTCAGGGCACATGTAGACAAACAAGCCTTCACACTAATAAATAGACATAAGTGAATCTAACATGATTTTGGGGGGGAATGTGCATGAGCGTGCAAACTCCGCACAGGATGGCCGGAGCGAAGATTAGAACGCGGAACCTAAGATCTGTAATGCAAACATGCTAACCTCATGTCTATGATACAGTATCAGACAAAAATGGTGCCCATTTCTAAATTTTTCTTACGTTGATAAGTGCCAGAGATGCCGGACTGAGTGAGGCATCGTTGCAGCTCATCAGAGGAGATCTGGCCGTCCTATCAAAATCACACGGGGGGAAAAAACATGATCTCTTTGACTTATATCCTCTTGTGATTAATTTGAATTTACACTCACCTGCCCTGCGACAGCCACAAAGTATCCATAGAGAGGATCCTGCTGCTGCAGAGTGGCAAAACATTTTATTTGAAAGACTTTACATGATATGCAAGTGTAATGCTGAAACATGTAAAGTGGTATTCTAAAATACTGAGAACACATTTTTACCGTGAATCAAAAGAAAATAAATAATAGGGGAAAACACATTTTGAGGTTTGTTGAAAAAAAAAGATACCACAAAAAAATTATGTTCGTTCAAGAAATAAATACAAATCAAAACATATACTAGTGGGGGAAACATTTTAAGGTTTCTACAATTACAAAAAAAAATAAAATAAAAATAGGATCTTAAAAATGCTTTAAGGTTGATTGAATGATATATAAATACAAATACTGAAAAACACGTCTTCAAGTTTATTTAAAGACATTTGTACGTATTGTTACCATTGGCGTCATTAGGCCTCTTTTAGGGAGGCTTCAGCCCCCCTAAAAATGTCTTTAGCCCCCCTAAATAATTTCATTGCATTATTTTAAAAAAAAGGAATTATTTAATTTTCTTTTACTTTTGCTAATATATTGCATCAAATTCAATGTAATGTGGCCATTTTCAATTATATTTCGATAACCTGCCATTATTGTAACATTAAATCTCCCAGGTTTCCTGAACGCAACAACTGACAGTTCATTGCCGAAAGTCAGGTTGAGTCGACACGACAGGATGGATATTCGACAGTTTTTTAGAAAGGTAAATTAAGTATTCAATTCATCCATGCTGGTAAAACTAGTGACTATAGTCCGCTAAAATATCTCCAGTAACAGCAGA